CCCCCCCCCCCCAATGCATGCTTTCGTGGCCCGCAATTACCCATCTGCGTTCCCCCTCACAATCACGAAAACGAGCAGGCAGGCGAGCGACGCAGGGGCGCCGCCGGTGCCCGCTTCGTGGTCCTCGGAAGACGCCCTGATGCAGCTCTACGAAGAAACGCGGCGGAATAGGGACCGGTCAAACAAACCATCGGCGGCCACCGCCGTTTCGTCGTCGGCGAAGACGCCCAAAAGATCGCTGCCGTCGTCGCTGCCAGGGAGCCCGAGACCGGGGGGGACGGGGGGGTTGGACTCCCTGGTCACACCGCCTCCGCCCGTGACAAGGGGCGGGGAACGACAGTTTCTGTATATCCAAGTGTGCTTTGTTTTTGGTTGTTGTTTGGGAGCGTATTTTTCACTGTGCTTATCTATGGTGGTGCAATTGTTGTTGTGTTGGTCTACGGTGGCGTGACGGGTGTACTTTTTTTTTTCATGAGTATGGATGGATAATTGGGGGGAAAAGAAATACGCACCAAGAGTGCGCTCGCGTTGTAGGATACTGCGAGATTTCGGGATGGAGACAATAAAACACCCTTAGTTGGGATACCCTTGCGGATTGGAGTACCGCGAAACTTGAGGGATCTTAAACATTCGGACAAAAAAAAATTGGAATTAGTTCAATCTTGACGCCTGTTCAAGGCTGGAACACCGCGAGGTATGGAGAGCGAGATAAGAAAAACAAGCGTGCGCGTTATGACGATGCCCTTGCCAGATGGAGTACTGCGAGAACACCCTGCGGCACATAATCGACCACGGTGAGCTTTGGCGAGAAGAGCAGCGGTGCTGGAGACTCTTCCGGCAGATGTTGGAGGGCGTCGACTTCATCCACTCCAAGGGCATCATACATAGGTAGGGGAGATAGTATGGTAGTTGGTTGCACGTACAACAATCGCTCCTACCTGAAAACAACCGTTCGATTCCAGCGTAGATTTTCCGAAAGCATCACGTGGTTGGTAAAAGCTTGTGTTCGGGGATCGCGCGTTCAGGCGAAACAGTTGTTATCCAATGCGCACAAGCATTCGAAGCACCAATCGACGTGAATCAAGCCCCAGTCGCCATGTGGCACGCCCCGATCGACATTTTATCAAGCACTACCAGACACGTAATAAGCATTAATTGGCAACTATTGCGAAAGGTGGCCGAAAACGCGTGTGTGTCCTGTCAGCCGGCGTACCATGATCGCCCTCCAACGAATCAACAATAGGTATGCATTATCTCAGATGAAGAATTGCGTGGCGTGTCACCTAACACCGTTGCTCTTTTGTTGTGGATCGACAGGGATCTGACGCCGCCGAATGTGTTCCTGGATGGAGAAGAGAACGTCAAGCTTGGAGACTTCGGCCTCGCCACGTCGAAAAAGCCTCGTACCAAGGGTGGTGGAGTCAACAAGTTGGTGTGTGGTTCGTGCCGAGTTCCGGTGCTCTCGCCGAGTATTTTTGTCGATTCTGGAGCGGGATATTGTTTTTATAGTACCGCTGTGAATTCGGTGTTCGTGCAGCGGGCGTTCGACTCTTGCATGTCTTGATTGGCATGGCATGGCATGCGGTATTTGTTTTTGCAGGTTTTGTTTCTGCGTTCCTGATTTACTGGCTGAACGGGCGTCCGTCAGGAAGAACAGTCTCTTTCGAAACAGGCTCAGCATTGCGACAAAGGGAGTTTCATCCGATTGTCAAGTAGAGTGTTGGACTGAGCGAAGGTCGAGCGCGCTCTACGTACGTGCCCTTTACCGTTTTTGTCTGTACGTCCGACAATTGCTTTGAGCCAAGCGCAAAGAGCACCGGAAGTGCTCAGGTTTGTAGAAGTCGCTTCGGCGAAAAACACCTCATTTTGAGGTGGCCATCTAAAGAATAGGACCTATACTCCGTCTCTGCTGACCTGCCTGGTCGCTGGTCAGTTTCCTGAAGAAATGGGTTGCGATGGTTTCATGGCGCAAAGCCCCCCCCCCCCCCCCCCCCCCCCCCCCCCCCCCCCCC